ACTGTTGGCGCAAGCTACATTAAAGTGATTATTACGTTTTGAATATGGATATTTTTCTTACAAAAACGCATCGATTCGCTACAGGAGGTCTTTGTTCACCCCCGGAGCCTTTTTTATTTTATGGATGGGCGCTTTTTATTTCACTTCTTTTGGACTGAAGCATGCAACACCCGTTGAGTGGCATTAAACAGCTTGAAAGATCAAAGACCATTTTTAATATAACTCCGACTGGATTCGTCTGAAAGAAGAAAGTCATATACACCTAGGATGCCTCGGGGGTGAGTAATTTGTGGGCGAGTAATTTGTGGGCTAATTTTCATTTTTGGGTGAACTAACCTTTTAAATATTTGATTACAAATCGCTTTAATATGTGCTGACTGACAGGGTTTATTGTATAGTTTTTACAGCATTAGTTGAGAAAGATTTTTTTTTCCTTGGGGAAAAAAAAAGTGACGTACTGTACCTGATTGCCTATATATCCAAAGGAATCAATACATAGCTCAAAAAAGAATCGAATTGCAAGCTTGTGAATCGAAATCGTGAAATTTGTCTCAATCCCCAGCCCTAGCGAGGTGTTTCTGAGTGTCTCACTGCGTTCTGTCTGTGTCTGTAGAGGAGCTCCGGCTCGGAGCTGCAGGAGATCATGAGGAGGCGGCAGGAGAAGCTGGCGGTGGCGGCCAGCGATTCCGGCGTGGAGTCCTTCGACGAGGGGAGCAACCACTGACCCCTCACTCACCTCTGTCACCTCTGACCTTTTACAGGACGCCGTGGAGCGCGCTCAGTTTGCCGCCATAATGCGCCGTCGTCAGGAACTCTTGGACCCGTCCGATAACGGAACCGGATCGGACGCGGACGAACGCGCGTGACGAGACGCGAGAGGCTTTTTGTAGACATGTGAACGTTGCTGCGGCGTTCTCCGTAGGTTCCTGTGAGAACATCAGAGCAGTGTGTAGTCTAATGCCATCGAGTTCTGCCTTCATAGTCCAACATCCTAAAAACATTCACATTTATATGCAATCATTTACTGCTCGGACAGAAAACCTGTGTAAATACTCCCACACAATTGGCTGGATCTTGGACCAAATATTGATTTGATTAGCTATTGTTCCTCACAGACACTTCTGATTAATGACGTCTTGAATTATTCATCAGCTGCTTTGAATGTACCTGGAGAATTATGGGTAACATTTTTTTTTTTACTAGCAAAATAATGTTTCTGTACATGATCGTTTTGTACCGAATTGTACCGCCAAACGAGAAGATTTATAAACCTAATGGAAATGAAATGTCAGTTTCTGTAGATCTGACGTGAGTTTCACAAGGACATTTGACAGATTTTGGGCCAAAATCCTCCTGCAGTCTGCAGATGATATTGATGATGCCATCAAACTTTCAGAAATATGACTCGTTGCAAGCGTTGATTATTTTCCTCTCTAGCCCAGTAACGTGACTGATGTTTGGCCAAATCAATCTCTGGGTTCAAGGTTTCTGTTTAAACACAAATGTCACGCATTCAATCTGTAAATATAAAGCGTGTCCAGAATAAATGGGATCATGTGACCTTTGTGTGCCATCCATGATCGTGTGATTGTTAAAAAGATGAAGATCAACTCTCAGACTCCTTTGTTTTTTTGGGGAGGTATTTTGCTCATTCAAACCAATAAAACCCAAGCATTTTCTACCTCCAGCGAGATTTGAACCAGGATTCAGTCCACCGAGCCACAGTCTTGAGAGCTTAGCTGTAGAAAATAAATCAATAAAGGGTAAGAGGGTGCGAGAAAACCTTGATTCAAATCCTCTCGGTGCTTACGCTTTTCCTCATTTGCTGAAGTTCTCGATAAGAGCTCAAAACACTCACCAGTGACTATAAAGAGATAAAGAGTTGTCTTTTAATCATAGCAGCCGGAGTTCAAATCCCGCTACTGCTTGTTAAATAAATACAATGAAGCATTCTAAGCCGAGATGGGCCAGTGGTTAAGTCGTCTGAGCAAACAGAAGCATACTTGTTGAAGGCCTGTTTCTCTGGAGAATGTTTTGTCTCAGTTGAGCGTTAAGTAAAAAAAAAAACTAAAGCATAGTCCGTAGGGCTGGGTAAAAAAATATTGATATCTCGATATTAATCGATTCTCATTTTTACGGAACGATATCGATTCTTAAATCCCAAGAATCGATTATTCTAGCCTGTTTTCAGTTAATGGACGGAGCGTTGAAGGGCACCTCCCATACAATAAATCGCAATAAGCATTGTGCTTTGGTACTTTTAATATGAAACAAAGTCTCAGATTTCAAATGTTGTCCATTGTATTGCAGTATTCATATTACTAGTTATAGCACAAAATAAACATGACTAAACATCCGAAGGTAAGTTCAAAGAAAGCGTACAACTTTACAATCCGTATTCTGTCTCATGTAATCGCTCAATCAGTGTTTCAGCCGCGCAAAGACACCAATATAATGGCTTCTAAACAATGTCACGCAACGTCACATTTACCGCCAAAAAAACGTATTCGGTAACCATAAACTCATTAATCATATAGAAAGATAAACTGTTGAGAAGGGCATTTTGCTTCATATATGCACCATATAACATATTCATTATAATTTTTACTGTTCTTCAATGTTTAATTTTATGTTTTTATGACAGCCACCATTTAAATGTTTATATTTAAAAAAAACAAATTTAAGTAGAAATATTATGTAACTGTAACTTTATTACTGTAAAAACTTCATTGATTTTAACCTTCAATATTATAGTAATGTAGTACCAACTGACTCTCATGTATATTTTACAGCATTAGTTGAGAGATTTTTTTTCCTTGAGAAAACTGTACTGTACCTGATACATATCCAAAATAATCTATATTGAATCGAATCGGTAATCGAATCGAATCACAAGCTTGTGAATGAGAATTGAATCGAATCGTGAAATTTGTGTCAAAACCCAGCCCTAATAGTCTGCCTCAAGAGAGGGATTTAAAACAGGACTCCAAGCATCCTCCTTGAAACTTTGGGAGGGATTGTTTTGTCCCAGTCGATCATTCAGCAAATAAAACTAAAGGGTTTTCCACCTCGAGACAAAATAGCCTTCTATGCTTGAAGGAGCCACTGAAGCTTACATGCTTCTTTTTGGAGGGAGTTTTGTTCATTCGGAACCAGTGAAACTAAAAAAAACTCAAATATGAGTGTAATATAAAATTGAGCTGGACTTCTATTAGGGCTGGGTTTTGACAAATTTCACGATTCGATTCGATTCTCATTCACACGCTTGCGATTCGATTCGATTACCAATTCGATTCAGTATCGATTATTTTGGATATATATCAGGTACAGTACATGCCAAATTTTCTCAAGGAAAAAAAATCTCTCAACTATTGCTGTAAAATATACATGAAAGTCAGTTGGTACTACATTACTATAATATTGAAGGTTAAAATTGACTGATTTGTTAAAATTACACTTAATGAGGTTTTTAAAATAATAAAGTTACAATTACATATTATTTCTACTTCAATTCGTTTTTTTAATATAAACATAATGAAACTTGATGGATTTATTCAAACAAATTAAACATTGAAGAACAGTAAACTGTATAATGAATATGTTATATAGTGCATATATTTAGCAAAATGCCCCTCTCTACAGTTTATTTTTCTATGTGATTATTGAGTTTATGGTCACCGAATATGTTTGTCTGAGGTAAATGTGACGTTACGTGACATTGTTTACAAGCCATTAT